GGTTGTGGGAGGGTATTTAGTGTAAAATTAAGGGCAGGTCTTGGAAAGCAGCCACAAAGTAACACAATGTTCCGGCTCTGTACTGTAGCTGTGCCGCTGCCGCTGCTGCCTCTGCTGCTGATGAGAACACTGTGTTCCAGCAGACACCCTGACCTGTAACCCGTTCCGTGCCAGGCCCGGGAACAGCCTGTTCCGAGGCGGCCTGTCCTCCCTCCTCTCCTCTCCTCTCAGCTGACAGCGCACATCAACAACAACAGGAGGCTGTCTGTCTCCTGTCTGTCTGTCTGAACACACACACACACACACACACACACGCACACACACACCTAGAGAGAGAGAGAGAGAGAGAGAGAAAGGCGTGTAAAGCTCCAAAGCACCGACACTATTGAACGCCTCACGCCCGAAAAGACGCGCGCGCTGACGGATTACTGTTTCTGAGAGAGACGGTAATAAAACCCCTCCGCCTTTTTTTTTCTACGCACCTGTTTTCCCCCCCTCTTTTTTTTTTCAATTAACTGAGGTGTTGTTAACGACAAAAACAACGCGACGTCACTGTGTAGCCGTGCCTCGCAGCTGGTGCGAGAAGCTATTGTGCAATAGCTGCGTTTTTATTTGCGTTTTTTTTTCTTTTCGTTTTGTTTTGCAAGTGAGAAATTGCGCAGCAGGAACTATTGTTCAGCCTATAAGGTGAGATAGAAACCTTCCTGCCTGCTTGTCTTTATTAGCTTTTGTTATTATCAGCTAAATAACAGATAAACTGTAGGATGCAGTGGTTGAAAGTAATTTAATGTGTTAGCTCACATTGTTCAATTATTTTACTGTTTTCTGCTATTATAATTGATGCTATAGGCCTAACTTCAACTTCACAGCTAATGTTGTTACTTTGAACATAAAGTTTATTTATTTAAGATATAACCCATTGCATCTTCATGAGGGGGAATTAATGCAAACATATTACTTGGCCTTTAAAATTATCGGCAATAAATACAAAAAGCAGGTTAATCCGATATTAATAGTGGATGAGTTTTGGTAATTTTTTTTGTTTTTGTGCAAACAAATTTAAATAAATCCTAATTTAATCCTGCAAAAGCTGTTTTGCATCATTTGTTTATATTCCTACAAGTGCAGCACAAAAGGTTGGAGCTCCCTTAGTGGCACTGATTAAAACAAAGTAACAGTTAAAGTTGAAGAAATGGGTTTTTGAGTCAGCTGTTAAATACGTGTAACTGCTTCAAGCTCTGATAACCAACAGAGAAAGTMTAAAGTGTGCCGTTAAACATTAACMGTCTCCTCTGACATGTAAACGCTCCTGTAATTGAAGCATATTTGAATACATACGTAAGTAAATACGTAGTCCGATTATTGCTATGGTATCAACGTGCGCTGAAGGAGAAAGATACATTATACAGTGCACAAAAGCATCAAMGTGGAAACAAAAAGCATTTTATTTCACAGTTGTGAGATCTTTTAAGGTTTAACTTAAAGGATCTTTTAAGTTAAACCTTAAAAGATCTCATGTTAAACCTTATAAAACTTTACTTACTCACTTACTTACTTACTTACTTACTTACTTACTTACTTACTTACTTACTTACTTACTTACT